AGAAGCTTAGGTGTGATTTTGACAATGATTCTTCTTCTTGTTTTCTACATCGCGTTTACACCGTCGTATACCAGTAAGTATCGTTTATAAGTTATTATCCTATTTTATGTTCAATAATTTCTACGCTCGTGATGATGATGTAATTGTTGTTATCATTATTACTATTAGTGTTAGTATTAGTATTAGTATTATTATCATTGACATTTTTTTTGTTAATATCCTCATTATCATTAGTATCATTATTAATATTACTCTTATCATTGTAACTTTTATTATTACTCTTATCATTGTAACTTTTATTATTACTATTATTATTATTATTATTATCATTATTATTATTATTATTATTACCATTATCATGATCATTGCTGTCACTATTATCGTCAGTATCATCATTATCATTATTATCATTATCGTTGCCGTTATCATCATCATGTTAATCATCAGACTCATTATTTCTAACATTAGTATCATCATAGCATCACCATTATCATTATTTCTTTAGTTATTGATTATTACCTCTGCCAAGGAGGTTATGTTTTTGACGGCGTTGGTTTGTTGGTTTGTTTGTTTGTTAGCAGCGTAGCTCAAAAAGTGCAGGCCGGATTTCATCGAAATTTTGGAGACAAGTCAGAAAGGGACTAACTTAGAACTGATTAAATTTTGGTGACATTCCGAATTACCGTCTGGACGCAGCAGCGGTGTAAGTAGCTCCGAAAGATAATCATGATATTTTTGGACTTGGCCGTGTCCCGGGTGTCACTGTGGATGCAGTAGCGGTGCAAGTACATCCGAGCGATAATTATGATGTTCTTAATTAGACTTGGCAGCGTCCCGCATGTCACATTCATAAAAAAAAACAAAAAACATAATCACCGTCTGGATGCAGCAGCGGTGGAAGTACATCCGAACAATGATTATGGTGTTCCTAGACTTGGCCGCGTCCCGCGTGGCATACAAAACACAGACACACACACACACACACACACATATACACATACACACGCACAACACACACACTCACGCACACACACACACATCCAGAATATTTAAAAAACTAAAAAATGTCGATGTTATAGATATTTTACCAACACCATCTGCGTTCTAGCCAGACAAGACGCTGAACGTTTCCATTTGAATTGACCAGTGGAACAAGACACTCTTTTTGCAAGTTTGACGCCAAACAAAAATTCAGTGATAGGAACGTTTATTAGCGGACTGAGGTGAGTACTATTTTAAAACAATACTAGTAGATTGTGTTAAATTACTAAAGAATTGTATCAAATTATTAAAGAATTAATAATGTTTAGTCTGTGTTAAGGCAGGCGCACACTAGGCGATCTCATCGCCAGCGATCAAATCGCCGGCGATTGGATCTTGGAAACGTCAAAGCAAAGCAAGTTACCTTTTTCTCTAGTAAGTTACTAGTAAATATAGGTTTAGACTTGAAGTTCCCACATCGAGAGCATACTAGCACGTGATTCACGTGATTAGATTTTTTTATATAGGCCTAAGTATGAACTAGGCATGCACACAGTCACGCGCAGAAATCTACGTAGCTAGGGGTATAGACCTAGGTCTAAGCTTATTAATTATAATACTGTGAAGCGAGAAAATTTCTCGGCTTAGGCCTAATTATCGAATTTTTATACATGAATCACTTTGTTGTAGGTTTTCAATTTTATTCTTCACCAAAAAAAATCAATCGCTTGCGATCAATTAAGTCGTAAGACCACACTGACTGATTTCATCGCCGTCGCCAGCGCTTGGATCGCAGAAATTGAACACTGCTCATTGCTGGCGATCGGATCGCTGGTCACCGCCGATTGCGTCGCAAGACATCACACACTGGCCGATTCTGGTCGCAAGTCGTGGACGATCAGTTCGCTGGCGATTAGATCGCCTGGTGCCTTTTAATTGTGTATGAGGGCTTTTTTTTTTCTTTTTTGAAGAAACTCCGAGCTGTCTGATCCTTTTCATCCTCAACCAAAGTATATTTTTCTTTTTCCTTTAGGTTGCCTCCTGAAATCACTGGAGGGACCTTTGCCAGCCGAGTGACCCAGAATTTCTGACCTATCTCAGACAAGAGGTAAGTGTGTGTGTGTGTGTGTGTGTGTGTGTGTGTGTGTGAGTGTGTGGTTGTGTGTGTGTGTGTGTGTGTGTTATATATTATATACGCACCTTTATATTTTCACTTTCGTTCATATGTATTTTTCTTTTTCCTTTAGGTTGCCTCCTGAAATCACTGGAGGGACCTTTGCCAGCCGATGACCCAGAATTTCTGACCTATCTCAGACAAGAGGTAAGTGTGTGTGTGTGTGTGTGTGTGTGTGTGTGTGTGTCTTTCTCTGTCCCTGTTACTGTCTGTCTCTGTCTCTGTCTCTGTCTCTGTCTCTCTCTCTCTCTCTCTCTCTTTTCTCTCTCTCTCTCTTTCTCTCTCTCTCTCTCTCTCTCTCTCTCTCTCTCTCTCTCTCTCTCTCTCTCTCTCTCTCTATATATA